TATATATATATATATATAAAATATATATATATAATATATATATATATATATATAAATTAAAATGGTATCAATGTTCCCTATCTATTTAATGTTTTCTAGATTATAAGGTATGAAATGTATGTAGGTACATATACAATTATGTTACAATTGTTATATTTGTACACTTTGAAGAACGGCATTGATCATTATTTATTAAAAATAAAATTCTATTTTTATGGCTAACAAGAATTTATTCCTTGTTCCATTAATCCTTATATGTCGTACACATATACATATAAATTAATTGTACATATTTCAAATTTACGTTTGAAGGAAAAGAAAAAAAGATTAATAACTCACGTTTCTTGGAACGTGTACAGCCGATGTGACAAATCCTTTCATTCCGTAAGAAACGTCCATATAATTTCCGAGCAACCACACCGAATCCACACTGATTTCGTTTTACCGCGCGAGTTGCAGTTCGGTGTCGCCATCTTAAGTCACAACGGTCGTTTGCCAGCGTTCAAAAGTGTTCATTTACATCTTCAAATCGCTGCATTAATTGTCACAACGTTTCAACAGATACACTACGCAAAGACATGTGAAACAATATTAAGCATCCCGCGAGGAAAGCTCGAGTCCGAGAAGAACTTATTCACGAAGTTGAAGGATATATTTACGACCGAGCGGCGACGCGCGGTTCTTTCAAATCTTCGCAGCTCGGAGACTGACGCGTGTCACGTGACCAGTTCGTTCTCGGCGCGACACGGGGCGCGTTTGCATGTATTATGTATCGTGCGCGTGTGGTGTCGGGCACGGAACTCAAGTTTAGTCCGCGCCTCGGGATTCGACACGGCTCCTGGGTGTACGAGCCAGCAGTAGAACAATGTATGGAGAAATCGTTTCGTCAATGTTAAAAGTTAAAAGTTAAAAGTTGAAAAGAAAAAAAAAAAGAAGAAGAGAAAGGAAGAAGCAAGAGGACGTTACACGAAACTCGATTCAAGTAGTGATTTCATTCGGATACTGTATAGGAATGATCCTTTTTCTCTCTCTCGCGGAGCTTTCATTGTCGTCGTTCATTATATCGATTTTCGACGTCGATCGCTCGTAGATCGTGTCGCTGCATTCGAAGGTGCAAGGGAAACGGAGCAACTACGCGGAAGGAGTGAATTTGTTCGGTGGAATTTCGAGGGGGGAACGATTAAAAAGAGACAGACAGTGCAACCGTGAGACTGAGAGTAACAATTAGATAGAAAGAAGAGAAAGAGAGAGATAGAGAGAGAGAGAAACGGAAGAGAGTTACATTAAACGTCGCGTACTATGTGGGACGTCGTGTCGAGTGACATTCTAGCCTGGAGACAAAATGGGGCCCGTTGATCGGGCCCGGAAGATCTCAGGGGTCCGATTATCAACGGAGGTATGGATGTCATCGGGGACGGGGACGAGCAAACCCTCCAGGCGATTCTCGGTGAGTAGTACTACCAGCGTTTCGTTTCGTCATACTCGTGTTTCGAATGCACGATACGATACACGTACGTAATTGTAAAACGTTCATTAGACAGCTTGGTGGAACGGTTCGCGACGATTGACAAGCGCGACAGCCGCAGAAATATCGCGTATCCCTAGCGTTTACCGTATATCATGCACTTGTGGTGCGCGCCATACGAATGCGTTCCTTCGTTGCTCCGAGTTCCCGTGCATTGACCTTAAACGCACCGGACATGGTTGATCGTGTGTTTTCGTCTTTCGGCCTCTTTGCTCTCTAACAGATGAGCTGATAAACAGCGTTATCCTGCTCCAGTTTCATCTCAACCCGTCCTGCCTTCCTTCTCTTCCTCTTCCGTTCGAATATTTCAGAGTCTAATCGCCAATTAGACAAATTCCTCTTTTCCCGCAGCTTTTATTTATCAAGTTGCGCATTTTCTTCGCCTCTTTACTTTTCACTGACAAACGTGAGAAATTAGCGAATATGTGAATCTAGAGGAATTTATTTTCAACGAAGG